TCATATGCGTGTAAATTCTACAACCTAAAACTTGGAATTAGTTTGAACTTTGTCATATTCGTTTAAGTTCTACTACCTAAAACTTGGAATTTTTTGCGTTTTTAAAGTGAAGCCTTAAGACAAGGACTTCATATATAAGTGTATATATTCATTTATAATTTCTTTCCGCAAACTCAAGGTCCTGATGTTGGTCAACGTGGCCACTTACTGAGGTCTAACTTGGTCTAACTACAGAGGCCTGAATGCACTCGCCGAGACCTACGCCGGCACTGATCTGGTCATTCTCGGTTTCCCTTGCAACCAGTTCAATTTGGTAAGTTGAGAAAGAGGGAGGAGGAGAAGGGGGGGAAGGAGAGAGAGGGGAAGGGAGGGAGGGAGAAAGGGATAGAGGGGGAGGGAAGGAGACTGGTGGGGAAGGGAAGGAGGGGGAGGGAGAAAGAGGGAAGGGAAAGAGAGAGAAATGGAAGAAAAGAGAGGGGGAGGAGGGAGAGAGAGAGACGGTTGGAGGGAGGGAGCAGAGAGAGAGAAAGATAATTAAAACGATGTACACGAACAACGCTCAACACAAAATTGCCCACATGCCTCCACGAGGGGCAACTGAAGGCAAATCAGTTAAGAAACCACACTACAAAGATGGAGTTTCAAACGTACCAAGAGGATGTTCTGTTTATTGAGAGAGTGAGAGAGAGAGAGAGAGAGAGAGAGAGAGAGAGAGAGAGAGAGAGAGAGAGAGAGAGAGAGAGAGAGAGAAGAGAGAGAGAGAGAGATTCTGTCTTTTGAGGGAGAGGGGGGGGGAAAGAATGTGCGTGCGTGCGTGTGTGTGTTTGTGTGTGTGTGTATACAAAATGGTACCCCATAAAGACCACAATACTCTATGTGTGTGTGTCTGTGTGTGTGTGTGTGTATGTGTATGTATGTGTGTGTGTGTGTGTGTATGTGTATTTGTGTGCCAAAAATGCCACCCCATAATGAGCACAATTCTCTGAATTTTCCAGCAAGAACCGAGTTCCACGGAGACCGAGATCCTCCAGGGCATCAAACACGTGCGCCCTGGAGGTGGCTTCGTGCCCCAGTTTGACCTCCTGGAAAAGGTCGAGGTCAACGGAAATAATCAAAATGACATCTGGAAGTGGATGACCGTAAGTATTTTCGAGTTATTTGGAGTCCAATAAAGAAAGTTAGGGACAGGTACATACGTAAGTGATTACATTATAATTGGAAGATGCATATGAACAAATCGATTTGTAGGGAAAGCAACACACACACACACACACACACACACACACACACACACACACACACACACCCACACACAACACACACACAACACATTATTATACTGTCGATAATTTAGCAATTATTAAGTCATCCCCATTAACCCAATGAAAAAAGGGGAACAGACTGAAATAGACCTTATCACCTCCACCTTTGATTCCCTTTTCCTTTCCCTCTTGTCTCATTTTTCCTTCCTTTCTCCAACTCCAACAGACCAACTGCGGCTTCACTCAAGACAGAATCGAAGGAGCATCGAATACGACTCCCTCAATGTCCACGACGTCCGCTGGAACTTCGAAAAATTCCTCTTCGGGCGAGACGGAAAACTATTCGTCCGTTACAGCCATTTGCAAACACCGGAAGGGATCTCGGATGACATCGATTACCTTCTGGCGCAATAGTTCTCCCCGTGGTGGACGCTCGTCGATTCGTTCGTTAGCGTAAGTGATTGTTATATGTAGAATAATGGTTTCTCTAAATGCCAAGGATTTTTTTTTTTTTTTTTTTTTTTTTTTTTTTTTTTTTTTGAAAAGATGAGGGTTATGGTTTTCACTTAAGTAGGTCTATATACATTCTAACTTCTGAACTGAAGTTTGTTCAGATGAAACGGTCATTAATATATTATACTTGAAGGAAGAAAAAGTGTTTCAATAACCATGTTTCTTAATTAATTAACAGAGTGGTTAATATCACATTCTCTTTTTGCAGTCGGCTGGAAGGCAGGGAGATCCACCGACCCGACATCACAGCCTGGTAACACCTTTCGAAGCAGACAATCTCTTTCTTACGGCTGAAAAATGAAGCTCTCGCCACAAACCTTTGTCGGTGGGTGTGGGTGGACGTCAACGTAGAGGGAAGTGGGCGGCTTTGAGTGCATTCACCGCTCACTCCTGTCGTTGTGTTGTACGAGAGAAGGCGTGTCTGTTCAAGGTGTTCCTCGGTGTGAAGAGTTCGGTGTCTCCCTCGTTAACAGCTGAGGAAAAAATGGCGATTTTGGCTAGTGTGTGTTTGATAATAAAGAACTTTAAAATCCTGGTTGTCTATTCATATTATGATTGGATCCTTGGAAGAGTTGGTGATATTTACTTACATGTTGATATCGCGATGGAATCCCTTGATGGTATTCTTTGATAAGGCAAATTCTTAGGTATAGCATGACATGAATTATACTGAACATGTATTTTATGTCTATTACTATAAATCTATAGAGTTGTATATGTCTATATGTATACATATCCATATGTATCCATATGTATATAAGTACACACACGCATATAGATTTACACACACACTGTGTATGTATATATGTGTGTGTGCGTGTGTGTATGTGTGTGCATATATATATAAGTGTATATATGCAAGTATGTGTGTGTATGTGTTCATATAAAGATATAGATAGAAGGATAGACAGCCGCAAATATGATAATATTATCTTTTATTATGGTAAGCCTTATTAAGCGGCACACTGAAAAAAAAATCGAGAATTATACCACCAACGGTATCAGTTCTGAACTAAAACAGCTAAGAAAGAAAGAAAAGATTTTTTTTATCAATAGATATTTAGTTCTTACAAACTTAGCTTAAACTTATTAAGAGAAGTTATCTATTACAAAGGCTACAAAAAGCTTCTAGAAAACTGAGGTATAGACGACGAACTTATAGAGAATTGAGGGCTTGCCGCTTGCAGGTTGATAAAAATCAAGTAAAAATTTATGGAGAGGACGCAAACTAGCCGGTTACAATCTTGCATAAGACGAAAGAGCCCCATTATCCCTACGACATCCAGTGTTCAAATAAAATCTGACAGGAGAAATTTAATGGAATTAAAAGAATGATCGAGCAGTCCGAAGTGTCAAGCCGCAACAGATAACGACACAGAACAATAATCAGAATGAGGCAGGATGGAAGAAAAGAAATTTCTACAAGTAATATCCTCAAAAATTCACTTGCGCTTGCGAATGATCCTTTAGATGAAACTGCCGGAGCTATTATCATTAAGCGGCAATTAAATATAAGCTTTGAGTCAAGGGCTCCATCTAAGAGATTCAGATTATCCACGGAAGTAATTAGGACTCCATTAATCAGGAGACTTGGATGCTAAGGCAATAGCATTCTAAACGCACACTAATATCCTTGGACTTGCTAGGATTTAATTTCATGCCTCAAACAAGAGCAATAGTCAGGCTGTCAGCTATTATTTGCCTGATTGCTGGAGAAGGAATATTAGTAAGAGAAGCATAATCGGCATATACCGACATCTTATTAGTAATGCCTGGCCAAATATCGCTTGTGAATAAAATAAAGAGTAATGGG